CCCCCCCCCCCCCCCCCCCTACTTTCCTCCTAAATATAGTAGGTAGTTAAGAATAGCAGGGGGAATTAAATGAAAAAAGGGGAGGGGTGCAGGGGAATTTGTCCTACCTTTGTTCACGGAAAGACAGTTTAAAATGTAGTTCTTTTAAATGAAAAATGCGCAAATATTTAAGGACAATAGGAAAAGATTTTTTAGCGTGTTTTTGAAAAAAAGTAGGGAGGAAGGAAAAACCAAACCGGTCCTATGTAAGGTAGGGGGACGTATTTGGCGTGTGGTGTTGAAGATTTGAGAGTGGTTTGGGAACGTAGGGAAGAAATTTTTTGGTAAGGCTGATTAATCGGCTCTAACAACTTGTAGGATATTCAGATGTACATGTACACAGTTTTCTATACAGTGCGTTCGAGATAAGAGGGTCACCTCAATATCTCTCTTAGAGAGAGACGAAAAATTTGTTAAATATAATTTTATGTGACATTACGATCTATCTGATTGCATATTCAAACTTCCGGTGTAACCGGAAACCGATGTAACTTTTGTTTTGCAAGTGCAATGCCTATATTTTTTACGATATTTGATATGCACGGCACCTCCAAAAAGCATTATGCGGGTCCTGTAATTGGGCGAAAGTCTGTGGAGGGCCCAACACAAGAGAGGGAAAATAAATAATAAAATAAATAAAAATAAATAAAAAATTACACGGGGAGATTGTATTGTCCAAAAGAACATATTAAAAACAAAACATTGAACAAGTTATTGTCGGTCTTTTCTATGTGATGTGGCACACACTTGCTAGATTTCCTAAATTTATCCAATTTCCAACGAAGTTGGGTGCGCTATTGCAGCCACTTTCTCTGTTCGTCCGTCTGTCCGTCTGTCGGAATCCTTATCTACTCCTACAGTTTTCAAGATATTTAGTTCGTTCTTTTTGCATTCGGTAGCGTATAGCTCTGGCACCTGTGCTAAGGAAAATCTTGACGATTAAACTGCGCATGCGCATGCTGCCTAAGTCAACTTTCTTATTTATTAATATTTTTGTTGGAATTTTAACCACCTATACTTTTAGTAAAGGCACACATACCGCATATAGTAAAAATCAGCTGTGCGCATGCGCAGACTGCGCAATACCAACTTTCTTATTTATGAAGATATTTTTTTGAAATTTTAACCATAGATGCTTCTAGTAAAGAAAAACATATCATATGTAGTAAAAATTGGAAACTACAAATGTCATTAGCAGAGGCAAACACATCGCCTATAGTAAAAGTCAAATGCGCGCATGCGCAGACTGCAAAATGCCAACTTTTTATTTATGAACATCTCTCATTAAAGTTTAACCATAGACGCTTCTATTAAAAACAAACATAGCATACCTATTGTACAAATTAAATGTGCTCATGCACGAACTGCTCAACGTCAGCTTTTTTATGTATGGAGATATTTCTTTGAAATTTTAAATATATTATGTATGCTTCTACTAAAGAAAAACATAGCGCACTATGACTTTTCGCGAAGTACTGATGAATTCATGTAAAACGCACTGAAGTTATTCGCCTTAGAGCGAAAACGTTTTTACTTGTTTTGTATATCAACCATAATAATTATGCATATATTTTATGTTGTCATACAGAAAATTGATTACTCTTTTTAAATATCGTAAAAAAACCGAGCATTGCATTTGAGAAACAAAAGTGGCATCGATTTCCAGTTAAACCGGAAATGATACGGAAAGTTTATGCGATCAGATAGATCGTAATGTCGTAATATAAAATTATATTTGACAAATTTTTCGTATCATCCCAAATAAAAGAGGTATTGAGTTGACCCTTTTATCTCGAACGCACTGTATATGATTCCCCGATTTGCTAGAGTGAATTGGATATAGTGATTTGAGGGATATAAGATTAGGGGGAGGGTGTTGAGGGTGTACCTGCCTTGTGTTGTCTTGAAAAATGACAAACATATCAACGTAACCCTAGGTTTGCTGCGATGGACCAAGGTTCCGTAGATGATGAAAGAAAGATACTGAATGCATTTTCAAATTTTACAAAGAGGAAAAAGCGATCAAGCCAGCAAAACAAAAAGCTTTACTTACATATAAATTTGTATGACCTCGGATCAAAGTTCAAGGCCACGACCTTGGAAACTCCCAGGGTAATGGTCTTGGGAAATCCCAGTGTCATGACTCTGGGGAATCCCAGAGTAATCAATTTGGGAAATTCCATGTAACGTCACCGGAGACATTCCAAGGTTACCTTGTGAGCTGGGGACCCAAGATCTTTTCTCTTTTTTCGGTGTCATTCGATTCTCTCAATTTCCTAAGATCTAATTCACTCGAGGAAATCAGTGT